GGCCCTTGGTCGCTATGCTTTGTCTTCGGGACTTGTACTGGGGGCCCCGCTCATCCGAATGTCAGGTCTCGGGCCTGTGAGTCTTGACATTGGATGTATCTGTCCAGCCTGTCATCTTGGTGAGGGCAGGGCGTTACATTGTGTTTTTCTTTTATCCCCTGGATGCTTCCATGGCACCATACTTGTTTCATTGTTGCAGCTCACATGACATGTCCCCAGGGCCTTGCTGCCTTTTCTCTTCTTGAGCCTGGCAGCTAATTCACTTCCTGCCCCGCCTGCAGGGCACCAGTGAGGAGTGAGTGGTCAGGGCTTCTTGGGAGTGGATTCGGGCCACTTGGAGCACTGGTGCCAGCTCTCTCTCAAACCCACACTCCTGTTGAGTAGCCCTGGCCCAGGAGTGGTCTGGCAGAGTGAAAAGGGGTGCGGAGGGCAGCCGAGGGAGGGGGAGCAGGCAGGAGGTTTGAACTGCAGCCCAGGTGCCTAAGGTAGAGGTAGAATGCCCCACGGAAAAGAAAGGGTTTGCTTTTTTAGATGGAAACAAAAAAAACCACATTTTCAGAAAGGGAGTAAATCTAAAGTATATTGATACTTCAGCAATTTGAGATTCTTTTTGATCCTGGATGACATATGCTATGGCAGGCTGGTTTAGGAAATGGACATGCAGGCAGATTGGGGAGGCAGGCAAAGCCTCTTTGATTTGGAGCTGAGGGAACCTGCAGGCCACGGCTGTTTCCTTTGTCCGCTGTTGGCTGGTGGGCTGCAGCCCAGGGTTGGAGGTACTGGGCTGGGCTCACCAGGGACGCACGCACTGTGTGGCCTGTGTGGCCTCTGTGACCTGCTCCAGCGGCGAGAGAAGGGCTGTGGAGGCAGGGTGTCCCTCGGGTCTTCTGCAGAGAGCAGCGTCCCTTCGGTGCAGTGTGTGGCAGTGCGGGTCCAACCCCACCTGGGCATTCCTCGGGTACCTGGCTAGAAAATTCCTTATACGTAAACTAACTACGGATTTAGTCATTTGGGAGCAATTGGAGGTCTAACGAACGGGGCATGATCATTTCTCATATGTTCTGTAAGTTGTTTTCTTCTGTTGAATTTATTGGGGTGACATTGGCTAATACAATTATAGGTTTAAGGTGTACAATTCTGTAATACGTCATCTGTATATTAAGTTTTAATTGAGATGAAATAAATACTCAATGAGGTGGTTGTTTTTTTAAAGATTTAAAAGGAATTTTCCTAGTAAGTGAGGAATAGCAGTAATGTATTTGTTAATGAAAACCAAGTTATAATAATCTTTTGTAGCTCTTTGCAGAGTACGCGCACATAGACAATTGTGTTTGATGATTAGTTAATATCAGATCCCAGGACGATTGGAACCCCCAACCACCACCACCACCACCACCACCACCTGTTACATAAAGGAGGGATGTAGCCCACACCACTGCCTCTAGGCGCCAGCAGGGCCAAACACCATCCCCCAGCTTCCCTGCTAAGGCGGAATTTGCCAAATTGGACTCAGAGGTGCCGGTTCTGTGACCCTCTTGGTCAGCTTTGGAGGGGCTGCGTTTGGGACCGTTACTCCTCCCGCCCTCTGGCTCATCCGGAATATTTGTGGGGTTCGGAAACTGCAGTTCCCAGGTGTTTTGTTTCAGATTTGATGGCAGCCCCTTGATTAATCAGCCTTATCAGGATGCCTTCTCTAGATTCTTTAGTGGTTACACCGAGTGTTGCTCCCATTTTAGGGATGAGGAAACTGAGGCTGGCTGTTCAAGGCCCTGTAGCTGGCGTAGGCAGAGTTGGAATGACTTGGGGATGCATTATAAGCCATTATCAAAGGGCGTGGACAGCTCAGCTTCCAAGAACCCTTGAGACTTTCTCAGCTGGTGTTTCGGAAGGCTGAACTCTGAGCGCCCTGCTGCCCCTGGGCACTGTGCTGACAGGTGGGGGCGGAGGCCAGAGCCTCTGTGATGCCCGCAGTTGAGAGCCACAGAAGCCTTGCCCCGGCGGAGGCTGGTAGTTGAGACAGTGTGGAGGCTGGGGTGGCAGCTTCAGCTCATGCAGAGGCTAGTCCTCTGGGCCTCTCATCCCTGCCCCCCACTCACCCCCTTTCAACTGTTTATTGCCAGGGAGGAGGAAGGAGTCTCCAGCAGGTCTTGGGGATGCCTCCCTCCTTGTAAGGGTCCCATTTATGTTTTTAAGTGAGTGAACCTTCTTACAACCTGTCTTAACCTTGGCTCCTCTGGCCAGGAATCTCCGCTTCCCATCTCCTGGGCACCCCTTCCCTCCGCCCCGATCAGACAGTAGCAACCTCAGGGTGGTGACTCGCGGAGAAGATGGAATCCCTGGGAAGGAAGCGCAGGACGAAGTAATGACACATTTTAAGCTGTGTCACAGTGGGCAAGCCCCTGCCCTTGTCATGACCTCCCACTTCCTAAATTAGAACGGAGGGGAAAAAAAAAAGAACAGAACAGAACCAACTTCATTTTCACAAGTGGCCCTTTAGAGAAGGGTGTGACATTGAGCTTCCACTGTGCCCTTCCGGGACGCAGGGCCCAGGGAGGGCCACATGGGGCCTGGCGGGAGGTGCCACATTCCTAGTGGAAAGTAGGAGCTCTGTGCCTAGAGGGGTGGGAAGGCCATTGCCATCATCGGGAAGCTCTATTATCCATTCCCCTTGCCATGACCTTCGTTCTTCCAAAATGCTTTTAAAGGAGATAATGTTATCTTACCCGTTTTTAAGCACTGTTCCCCAGATCCACCATGTACCCACCCTTCCACCCTGCCCCCCCCCCCCCCCGCAACCACA